GCCAATGTTGGATCAGGCCAAAGGCCCATCCCGTCCAACACTCTGTGTCACACAGTGGCCAAAAATACCAGTTAGCCGCCCTGAGCCCGCTTTGGGAGGGCGGGATATAAATTTAATAAATAAATAAAATCACTTAAAAGAGGAGAAATAACATTGCGCAATATCAGAAGGTATTGCTTTTTATACCTCAGTGCTCTACGGGGATCGTATGGGGAGAGGCGGTCCTGAAGGTAAGACTAGAGAGTGATTTAGGACTATGAATACTTGGACCTTAGTACCCTCTTCCGGCGCAGTAGGGAACTGCATTGTGAAACATCAACCATTGCAATAGGCTAGCAATACGAAGCCTCTGGATTGGCCAGGCCTGGGATGGATACTGAGAACTGGGACTTCTCCCCTTGCCTGGCCAATAGAGCAGTCTGTTCTACCTTCTGCGCTTTAGCCTCCCACCCAGTACCTTCTCCAGTCACTGACTTCAGGGTCATTAAGTAGGAAAGCTTAATTTCCAGGAATGGGCAGGGAGAGATGCATCTGTAGGCCCTCCCTGGAGTACTCTGTGGTACTTACTTCTAAGAGAACATACACAGCATTGGACTGAAAGCGGCGTTTATTGTTGAGCTGTGCATGTTAGGTGGATGTTAGATATGCTTGCCAGCGCTGTCGTGGCAGATTCTGGAAGATTTTGAGGGTGGTGCCTGGGGAGGATGTGACATCACCTCTGCATGACACTCTAGGAATTTCACCCCTATCCAATCTCTATGGCAAAGAACACAGAGACACGGGGAAATTCCTAGAGCGTCACTATGGAGTCCTATTTCTGGCTATTTTATTTCTCCCACTCCTAAGTTTACAGAGCTCTTCTTACAGGGGCTACTGTAAGCTCTTGGAGGATTGGCTACATTAGGGGGGGTGTCGCCTAATATGCAAAGGAGTCTCTGCTACAAAAAGAGCCCTGTTAATTATACACATATATATGCAATTTGCCTTGGAAGCACGGGAGCTTTACGCAGTATTCCCGACCCTCCACGTTTCCCGGTATATATATATATGTAATTTGCCTTGGAAGCACGGTAGCTTTACACAGTATTCCCGACCCTCCACGTTTCCCGGTAAAGGAGGAAATGCCGTTCAAACAAATTACAAAGATGATTTGCCTCCAAGGGCAACGAGAGAAAGAAATTTTGCCTACAAAAAAAATAGAAGCATGTCTTACACGACATATTCATGTAGGAAGATTTCGCTTATGGTGAACAGATGAGCTTCAGAAAAAAGGTTAACTCGCGACAGCTCCAAGCCCAGGTAAGAGAGAGAAGACGAAGAGAGGTATTATCTAAGATGAAACACGGAAGGCAAAGCAAGGTGTCCAAGGGGCTCAACATTGGTTGTGGGGCCAACTGCCAAGGGTCCCTGAGTGAGAGAACTCTCTTAACCCTTTCCCTCCCAGGTCCTCTCGCATGCAGAGTTACGACATCCAACATTCAGTCCCCAAATTTCTTTTGCATGTGGATCTGAAGCCTGTGCCCGCAGGTCTAGGCAGAGTCTGTAGCTCAGCTGGAAGTTTAACACGCGGACTTAATAACTTACCCCCTTTCAATTGCGTAGGTTGGGACGGTGTTGGTTTTGGTCTTCTCCATTGCTGCATTAACGGTGATCACAGTAGAGTGGACCGTACAGTGGCAGACGGTCGTCCTGTCCATGCAGGTAAGATAACCCAGTGGTGCGCCTTTCAGAGTTACATTTCATCCTTACCACAATGCTGAATGACTTAAGTAGATAAATACATGTGGATAAATAAATGTGGTTTTAATATTTTTTAGGAATTTTCAGGGATGAGTTATATTATATTACATGTCTGCATATCCGTGATTCTCTGGCATACTGTGAGACCCTGGGAAGCCACGGAGTGGGGCCGTGGCTCAGTAGTAGAGCACCTGCTTTACGGGCAGAAGGTCCCAGGTTCAATCCCCGGCATCTCCAGTTCAAAAAGGACCAGGCAGTAAGTGATGGGAAAGACCTCAGCCTGAGACCCTGGAGAGCCATGGAGAGAAGAAGAAGAAGAAGAAGAGATTGGATTTATACCCCGCCCTTCACTTGGAGTCTCAGAGCGGCTTACAATCTCCTCTCCCTTCCCCTCCCCACAACAGACACCCTGTGAGGTGGGTGGGGCTGAGAGAACTCTGACACAAACTGCTCTTTTTCAAGGACAGCTGTGCCAGAGCTTGTGACTGACCCAAGGTCACATCAGCAGGTGCAAGTGGAGGAATGGGGAATCAAACCCGGTTCTCCCAGATTAGAGTCGGCACACTTAACCACTACACCA